CAACGAAGTAGAGGATGTCTTCAGGGGAAAGACCAAGATGATAAAAGTCTGGAGAAGATTAAGAAGTATTGGTAATTAGATAGCTAGCTACCATTAGAAATGTTTATGCTGTGTCTGAAGGGCCGTTTTTTGAAAAATAGATTTTCTCCTGCTATTTTAGAGAATGGGTCCCAAGCCAATGAAATCAAACTACAAGGAAGGAAAATACCAATAAATATTGGAAAATACAGTAGTTTCTGATGGTAAGAGCTGTCTAAAACAACACAATTACCTGAAAAGGCAATAAATTATCTTTGTTGGAGCTTTTTCAACAGGTGATGGATAGCTACCTGTTACTATGCTACAACTGTATTTTTTCAGACAGAAGTGGATTGAAAGGCCTTTGGGATCCCTTCCAAGCCTAATCACAGAATTGGAAGAAACCTCATGGGCCATCCAGTCCAACCCCTTGCCAAGAAGCAGGAAAATCGCATTCAAAGCACCCTCAACAGATGGTCATCCAGCCTGTTTAGAAGCTTCCAAAGAAGCAGCCTCCACCACACTCTGGGGCAGAAAGTTCCACTGCTGAACAGCCCTCACCATTAGGAAGTTCTTACCAATGTTCAGGTGGAATCTCCTTTTCTGTAGTTTGAAGCCATTGCTCCGTGTCCTAGTCTCCAGGGCAGCAGAAAACAAGTTTGCTCCCTTCTCCCCATTACTTCCCCTCACATGTTTATATACGGCTACGTGTCCTCTTAGTCTTCTCTTCTGCAGGTTAAACATCCCCAGTTCTTTAAGCCACTTCTCATAGGGCTTGTTCTCCAGACCCTTGATCATTTTAGTCACCTTCCTCTGGACACATAAGTCTAACTCTATTACTAATTTTGTTTAAAAAAAAACCAAACAAAACAAAACAAAAAAACATTACACATCCATATTTCCCCCCCACAGGGATCATTTTTCATATAGTCCACTCTGTCCATGTACAGAACTCCCAAAGCAGTGGTCCTGCCTTGCCAGCAAGAATTATGTTTCTGTTCACAGAGCAACACATAGGGAATGATTTCATTTCTCTTTAAGGTGATGATATGGCTATAAAAACAGGTATATTAGCAAGCCACATTAAAAATACAGTATCAGGCTATCAAGGTAAATACATTACCATGAAGATTAAGGATCTAGGTTTGATTTCTTTTCTCATTTTCCTGGAGACAGTATTCATGTCAACTACTAATGACACAGTTTACAGTATTTATTTATTTACTGTATATACTCAAGTATAAGCTGACCCAAATATAAGCCGAGGCACCTAATTTTACCACAGACACCTGTAATACTGATAACAGCAATAATAAATGTAATAATAATAATTATAATAATAATAGAGAAAAATAATAAATGTAATAATAGAATAAAATAATAAATGTAATAACAATAAAAAATAAAGAAAAATAATAAATGTAAGAATAATAGTAATAATAATAACAACCACAACAACAGAGTAAAATAATAAATAATTTTGATTCAAGTGTAAACTGAGGGGGGCTTTTTCAGCCTAAAAAGGGCTGAAAAATTCAGCTTATAGTCGAGTACATTTAGTAATTTAATGTGTATCTCATGTTTCTCCCAGCACAGTATGTGAGGTGATTTACACTCGATGTCAAAAAAATAGAAGATGCTGCCTGATCGCAAAGAAAAAACTTAGGAAAAAATAGAAAAATGATTTATTTTCAGATTTTTAAAAAAACAATTAAGAAATACATACATCTCTGAAGTTTGAGCAATTTAAGCAGCAACATTTATATGACAATTACTGGACTGGAAATAAATTCTGACATTTTCCTGCCTGGCTGTATTAAAATGAATCCTTGTAACAATGTTAAAAGAACATTTACATTTCAAAGGAAGCACAGGTGAATTCTGTATTGATGTACCACCACAAAATGACCTTCAGAAAACTCAAGCTATATGTGTTTGACATTTTGCAAGTGCATCTGTCTGTAACTCTGATAAAATTATTCAGAGGTTTCATATTATGAAACACCATAGACATAGAGTGATTCAATTTTCTGTGCAAACTGTTTTGGTTGGTGTAAGAAAAGCCAAACATGTCTTCTTCACTAAGACCAAAGTGTTTTAAGCAGTATTATTTGTTCTGAGCCATTAGTGCACAAGATAAGATGTCTCCCAAGTGCAGAAGAGGCAAAGCAAGATAAATTATGGGACGGATTAGTCCTCATGGGCAATGGAGGAAGACAAAGTAAACATTTTACATTTTTATCACTATCCCTTAGGTTATGTTATTTTCTAATTCCTATTTAACTTCCAACAAATATTTGGAATTACCTACTGCTTTCCTATAATATTATACATAACCCAAGTTAATATCCTACCCAGGTCAAAAGTCCCAAAATCCTACATACTGTAGCATTATGAATCAGACACCAAAAAGCCCTAAACCCATGTGAAAATAATTGCTTCCTCCATGGTATGGATCGTAGTTCCCAAAGGTAACGTTTCAGCTTGTAGGCTTGTAATACTCATCCAAGGCCTTCCTCTGGCTGACCTTGCTATTAAAACGAGGTAAATGGGAAGCAGGCTTGCTCAGCAGGTGTCCTTCATCTATGGCTTTTCTCCCAAGAGAGGTTCAGGTGATGGCTATTTTGTCATTTCTGCTGAGTGAAGACCTTTACTTTTTGCTGCTTTTGTTGGCTAAACTGCATTGCTGCCAGTTTTAACCTGCTGACTGAAGGGATCCTCCGCAAATAATCTGTTTTATCTTGCCTGAGTTTTTAATCTGTTTTTAACCAGTTTTTCTTTTATCCATTACATGTAGCTTGCCCATGTTATTGTGATTGTGCTTATTGTAATCTTATATTGCTACGTTGTCATTGTTTTATGTAATTGCGTTATTATTGTTCGTTATTTGCGTTTTCGGTTTTATTTTATGTAATTGTTATTTTGGGCTTGGCCTCAAGTAAGCCGCACTGAGTCCCCATCGGGGAGATGGTGGCGGGGTACAAATAAATATTATTATTATTATTATTATTATTATTTTATTATGTTATATCAAATGCCAGACACAGGCCAAGATCCTGTATCATCATGATGGCAAAAGCTGTCTCATCAGAATCACATCTGGCAATGCCCCTCTCCCCAAAAACCCAATATTTTCAACTTGGCAGTGCCCATAAACACTGATTGGGACATACAGAAAGGACACAAACAGCTCCCCATAAATCTTTGCATTTTGGTGCTGACAGGCTGAAAAAGGCAGAGTTGGAAGGGGTTCGCATTTGGTCACTAACAACTATAAAACATAAATTCCCAGCTGTTATGAGATCCTAAATCCATCTTACAATCTCCTATTTACTGGATGACAGCCACTAAATATAAGATCCAATACAAGCCCCAGACATACTTTCCCCTCACTAACATTTTGGGAATAAGGCAATTGTTGCATATAACGAAATTTTAGAGATGCAAATATCTATATATACAGCTTCCTGACTCTAACTTTCTAGTGTTACTGGTGACAGCTTGAAATATGAAGCATTTTTTAAAAAATGATGTTTTGGCTAGGTCACCGGATAGAGCTATGCATACTGAAATCCAGTGAACCTTAGAAGGATTTGATGCAAATAGGCAGTTAAATGGAGCCCCCAATGGTGCAATGGGTTAAAACACTGAGCTGCTGAACTTGCTTACCGAATGGTCGCAGGTTCAAATCCAGAGAGCGGGGTGAGCTCCCGCTGTTAGCCACAGCATCTGTCAACCCAGCAGTTTGAAAACATGCAAATGTGAGTATATCAATAGGTACTGCTCTGGCAGGAAAGTAACAGCGCTCCATGCAGTCATACCAGCCACATGACCTTGGAGGTCATGTCAGGAAAACCCTGACATTAAAACTTTTTCAATGCACTTCCCATTAGTTGATGTCACCCACTCACCCAAAAAACCTCTGTGGAAACTTTGGAAAAGCAAAAGGCTTCATATTATCCTATGGACAGGACCTTAATGACAATTATGGTTTTAATCTACCTACTGCATTTTTAATCCCCTGTTGTCATGTGTGATTTATTGATTGGTTTCCATGTTAAGATACATTGTCATTTTAATTATCTGCACTTAATTTATTATGTGTTTGAATTTTCACTGTGTATTGTATGGCATCGAATAGATGCCATTTATGTTGTAAGCCGCCCCTAGTCACCACGAGGAGATGATATAAATAAAGTTGACTTGGTTGCTGTGAGCTTTCTGGGCTGTATAGTCATGTTCCAGAAGCATTCTCTCCTGACATTTCACCTACATCTATGGCAGAGGTTGTGAGGCCTGCCATAGATGTAGGCAAAAGTTAGGAGAGAATGGCCATATAGCCCGGAAAACTCACAACAACCAGTGATTCTGGCCATGAAGGCCTTCAACAACACAAAGTTGACTTGACTTTACATTATATACCTATTTGCAGGAACAATAAAAGCTGAAGCAAAACTACTTCCTCAAAACAGTAACTGCATAATGAAGTTTTACTATATCAATACAGAATTGACTTCTGACCCTCAAATCTTATGAGATGAACAGATATTGCATGTAATACAACTAATATTCCACACAACAGCTGTGTAGCATCTGAGAAGAAATTTCCTTCCTAGTAGCACATTCTTTAAGTGTTTTGGGAAATAAAACTGTATTTGAAAAAGAGACTTCTACTTTCACCTTGCATCCAGTGAACTAAAATAAAATCCCTAATGCCTGGGAATTTCCAAACTATTATTATAAAACTCACTACTTCAGCAGATAGAAAATATTTGTTATTAAATTCAAATAAAGGTATTTCTTTAAGAGAAAAAAAGGCTTGTATTGCACTGCATGTCTATCATTTTACAGGTCCTTTCTAAGGATTCTCAATCTTAGAATCAAAACATACGGTTGCTTTTGACAGATGAGATCCTGATAAACTAATAATGATAATTATAAATGCATATTTAGATTTCTTTATATAATTAAACATTTAGAAATAAGTTATAAAAATACTTTTAATATCACAGAACACTCGCCAAAGCTTTATTTTAAGGGTTCTTGCTCATATCTAGAGATTGTCGGGCATCAGCAACAGCTTCAGGCACTCGGACTGTCATTTGGTTCATATATTTCTTCAAGGAGATTTGACAACCCAATCGAGATCTGCAGGGAATCAAGGTAAGCAGAGAGAGAAAGGGAGAAAGAGAACATTTTGATTTTAAATTGATGTTTTTGCACATCTTGTAAGAACAAAGAAGTTACAGTGATTTCTGTTGGTGTACAGCAGGAAGAAGATAAAGCCAATTAAATATTTCAGGCAAAGATTGAAAATGGAAAGATGCAATTCCATGTTCAAGTAAGCCAACTACATAGTCAACAACACTTAGCTTTAGTCTGTTTGCACGTGCTTCATAATAATAATAATAATAATAATAATAATAATAATGCGATCAAATATAGTGATCTTGTTTGCTGTGTACTAATCTTGTTGTGTATCAAATAATAATAATAATTAAAAAGTTTTTGTAACCTGCCCTATCTCCCCAAGGGGATTCAGGGAGGCTTCCAACAAAAGTGGCAAACATTCAATGCCACAGTAAAAAAAGACAAACAACCAATCAAATCAAAGCAATAAATAAAACGGCATCAATATAAACTTATAATAACCATAAAGTAATCAAAACATAAGAACTAAAATAAACATGATATGTCACTGGATTGTTGTCACATTACACACATTTAACCACATAATACAAACTTAACTAAAATGCATTAAAACCTGCTGTAGTTTACTGCAACCAACAGGGCTGAGGTAGAATTCCAGTATAACAGTGCCTCCCAATCCAGTGAGGCAGCCCAGAAGGATGCCATGGTCAATGGTATCGAACACTGCTGAGAGGTCCAGGAGAACTAGTAGGGACATACTCCCCCTATCTAGCTGTCTTCATAGATCAGTGGTTCTCAACCTGTGGGTCCCCAGGTGTTTTGGCCTACAACTCCCGGCAATCCCAGTCAGTTTACCAGCTGTTAGGATTTCTGGGAGTTGAAGATCAAAACATCTGGGGACCCACAGGTTGAGAATCACTGTTGTAGATCATCCACCAAGGGAACCAATGTCATTTCTGTCCCATAGCCAGGCGTGAAATCAGATTGAAATGGATCCAGATAATTGGTTTCATCCAAGAAACTTTGTAGTGTGAGGCCACCACCTTCTCTAGAACCTTGCCCAGGGAAGGGGAGATTTAATACTGGCTAATAGTTGTTCCATTGAGTGGGATCCAGTGTCGGTTTCTTTAATGGAGGTCCTACTACTGCCTCCCTGAAATTAATTGGCATAATGCTTTGGGTCACGGAGGCATTCACCATTCCTTCTTATAATTCTTAGAACAAATCTGAAAGGCTGGTAAGCTTTAGTCATATATTTATTTTATGTGTTTAAATGTGAGAGACACAGACAGAAGGTAGCTTGGCACAATCAAGATTTCCTCTCTTAAAGTGGAAATTAAAGATATTGGACATAATGAATATGGACAAATTAACTTATTCTTTGAAAACACATCAAGGCAAACCCAAATGCTCCATGGACTGGACTTTACTAAATAATTTTTTGAATGTAAAAGGAAAACACGCAAATACCAGATGTCGGAGAGAACAACTAAAATTAATAATTAAGAGTTCAATAACCTTGACAGGAAAAAATTCGGAAGTCAACAATCAAGAACTTTTTATTTTTTTCCTTTTTTCTTTTTAAATATTTTTTCTTCTTTTCTTTTTCTTTACTTCTTCATGATTTCCCTCCTCCCTTTTCTTCCCCCCCCCTTCCATTTTTTTGTTTTGTTTTTGTCTTCGCGTCCCAGCTTCCTATTTTTTTACCTCTATTTTTTTTCTCTCCTTCAGCAATAGGGCTCCCCCTTTTTATTTTCCCCCTCCCTAGATAGTATTTCTTCCCAACTTTCCACCCCCTTTTCCTCAAAATCAAAATCCACACCCCAAGATCCCCTCTTTCTTTTCTTTCAAAAATAAATAAAAACTATTTTTTAAAAAGATTTCCTCTCTTAAGAGTAAGAAGCTGGTTCCATCTCACCTGTCAGTCAACCCATAGGCAAGGTCCAGCATATCCAGTTCCTCATCAGTGATGGCATCCAGTTTTTCATATATTTGGTCTTCAAAGATCAAATGACAAGTGGAACAGGCAAGTGTTCCCTCACATGCACCTAATTTATTTTTTAAAAAAAGAAATAATTATACACACATTATGAAAAATCTAAACTGGAACATTTTCCTGCACTCTCGATTGTTTAAGATTGGATATACATTTAATTCACTACTGAGGGAATGTTTAAGAAAATATAAGGTGTTCTTGAGATTTATAACAGAAATTAGTCCATTGATGGGAGGGACACAACAGCCTTTCTGCTTCTTGTACTTAAAAATATGACAGGAAACATGAATCGTAATAAGGATTGATGATGACAGACTAGGATAATTTATGTAAAAGATGCAGCTATGCCTCTGGTAAGCATGAGCAACATAGCTAATGCCAGAATAATTAAATATAAAGAAGTGTAGATGTGAAATTCTCTTACGAAGTCAACAGAGCAACTATTACACTTAAAGAAAGCTATATTGAAAGAAAATAGGAGGGCATCAAACAAGCAACCATGTTTAAATCTTTGAAGAGAAGCAAGTAATCTGGCCCTGCAATGCCCTCTAGTGACAAAACAAAAAAGACAAAGGCCAATGGATTAAGAGCTTATTTTGTGGACAAGTTAACAAAAATGATTGACAATAACTTTGTTATAGGGCTCAGCCCAGCTTTCAAAGAACAAAGACATGATAAGAATAGGAAATGTTTGAACGGAATACACTGCTTTTACAAGTCTTTTATCTACAAGTGTGCACTCCACAATATTACACATTCTTGTATATGCAAAACCATCACAACCCACAGAACAGAGCAAAATTAAGCTAATGGAAAGAAAAAAATTCTGCAAGCAAAACTAGAACTTTCTTGTGGATATCAATGCCATATCAAAACCAGGTCTGATGCACAATGCATTAAATTATCCAATTCTGATCTGCTTTTAGTGCCCTAGCTTTGCAGCAGAACTCCCCAGGTAACACAGATATGGACTGGGGATTCTGAGTTATAGTCCTAAAAATAAGCTCTGCTTTATAACTCGTGGATGAAAAGTTTATGTGCAACACCCTCATTCAAATTGGTGGAACCCAAAAGGGGCAACAAACTATTGGGGGGACACCCCTCCCCAAAGATTGACTCATATACAGTAGAGTCTCGCTTACCCATCCTTCGCTCATCCAACATTCTGTATTATCCAACACAATCTGCCTCCCGCCCGAAATAATGTTCAGGGTGGGAGAAAGAAAAAACCCTTGTTTGTTTTGGTGCTAAATTCGTAAATACAGTAATTACTACATAACATTACTGTGTATCGAACTGCTTTTTCTGACGATTTGTTATAAAACATGATGTTTTGGTGCTTAATTTGTAAAATCATAACGCAATTTGATGTTTAATAGGCATTTCCTTAATTCCTCCTTATTACCCAACATTTTCACTTATCCAACTGTTCTGCTGGCCTGTTTATGTTGGATAAGCGAGACGCTAGTGTATTCAGAAGTTTAAAAAAGAACTAGGAATCCACTGGCTTATGAAATCATACATTCTAGTTTTAGTCTAATCTGACCATGGTGGTCCATGCCTTAGTTACCTCTAGATTGGACTACTGCAATGCACTCTACGTGGGACTACCCTTGAAGACGGCCTGGAAATTGCAACTCATCCAATGCTTGGCAGCCAGATTAATAACTGGGGCGACTTACAGGGAGCGGTCAACCCCCCTGTTTAAGGAGCTTCATTGGCTGCCGTTCATTTACCGGCCCCAATTCAAGGTACAGGTTCTCACCTATAAAGCCCTAAACGGTTTGGGACCTGCTTACCTTCGTGACCGTATCTCTTTCCATGAACCAGCCCAAGCTCTTCGATCTTTGAGGGAGGCCCTCCTTTCACCCCTGCCAGTTTCACAGGCTCATCTTGTGGGTACAAGGGAGAGAGCCTTCTCCTCTGTGGCCCCCCGACTCTGGAACTTGTTGCCCAGAGAGACTAGGAAAGCCCCTACTTTAGAAAGCTTTAAAAAGAATCTCAAGACCTGGCTCTGCTGTTGCGCTTTTGGAGAGTAGCCATACAACCTTATTTATTTATTTATTTATTTATTTATTTATTTATTTATTACTTCGCTTATATACCGCAATTCTCAGCCTAATGGCGACTCATTGCGGTGTACAACATAGAAAAACAGGTGCAAAATACAGCATACAAAAAAATAATCCACAGTACATCATTATCAAACATCTCATCAAAAACATCAATATAACTACAAACCATTCCGAGTCGTCTCATCGTCAAGTTCACAATCCAATACCATTTCCGTTGTTCCATTCCTATGGTCGAGTTACCCGTCATTGCACTACTATTCAAATGCCTTCTCAAACAACCAGGTCTTTAACTTCCTGCGGAATATCAACAGGGAGGGGGCTAGCCTGATGTCTATGGGAAGGGTGTTCCACAGCCGAGGAGCCACCACCGAGAAGGCCCTATCTCTCGTCCCCGCCAGCCGTGCCTGTGACGCAGGCGGGATCGAGAGCAGGGCCTCCCCGGAAGATCTCAAAGTCCTCGTGGGCTCATAGGCCGAGAGGCGGTCAGTTAGGTATCTTGGGCCGGAACCGTTTAGGGCTTTATAGGCCAATGCCAGCACCTTGAATTGAGCCCGGTAGCAGATCGGCAGCCAGTGGAGCTGGTACAGCAGGGGGGTTGTATGCTCCCTGCGCCCCGCTCCTGTTAGTATCATGGCTGCCGCACGTTGGACCAATTGGAGCTTCCGAGCCGTCTTCAAGGGCAACCCCACGTAGAGAGCGTTGCAGTAGTCTAAACGGGATGTAACCAGAGCGTGGACTACCGTGGCCAAGTCAGACTTCCCAAGATACGGGCGCAGCTGGCGCACGAGCCTAAGCTGTGCAAATGCTCCCCTGGTCACCACTGAAACCTGGGGCTCCAGGCTCAGCGACAAATCCAGGGCCACACCCAAGCTGCGAACCTGTGTCTTCAGAGGGAGTGCGACCCCATCCAACACAGGCTGTAACCCTATACCCTGTTCGGCCTTGCAACTGACCAGGAGTACCTCTGTCTTGTCTGGATTCAACTTCAATTTGTTCGCCCTCATCCAGACCGTCACAGCAGCCAGGCACCGGTTCAGGACCTCGACAGCCTCCTTAGTAGCGGGTGGGAAGGAGTGACAGAGTTGGACATCATCTGCGTACAGATGACATCGTACCCCAAAACTCCGGATGATCTCACCCAGACTTCATGTAGATATTAAACAGCATGGGGGACAGTATAGAGTATTATTCTATTACTCCCCTCAACGCTTTTGTCCTTGGAGTACACCTCCCCCTTGTACAAAGGCCTGTTTACTACCCCGTTTCCCTATGAGCTCTCCCTTGCAAATAATCTGCTCCTTTTATCTCACCCTGAGTTTTTAATCATTTTATTGTACAAGCGGCCCGCTCACTATTATGATTGTTCATCGCATCCTTATGTTTTGTGTTGATTGCTTATTGTATTCATCATGTTTTTGTATTTTACTGTGTTGTTGCTTGCGTTTCGGTTTTTATTTTATTGTATTTTACTGTATTGTAATGTGCTGTTCGGGCTTGGCCTCATGTAAGCCGCCCCGAGTCCCCCTTGGGGGAGATTGTGGCAGGGTATAAATAAAGATTATTATTATTATTATTATTATTTACTTACCAAAACCATCTATGTCGAGATTGTTGTCAACCACAACATCTAGAAGTGAGTCTCCAACCTTTCCCTGGGCTGTTAGCTTGTCACCATCACGATTTATAAAGTGCACTGTAACTTTATCTTCTGAGCTGTGAAAGAAAAACAAAAAAAATGTTTTTATTGCAGGCTGAATCTCAAGAGAATGTGTAAGGATCAAAATGACTGTATGACTTTCTAGAGATTAAGGAAACTTTAACACAACCTTTGAATATGTATAAGTAATGCTATCACACTGGCAACGAAGATCCGCATAGCCAAAGCAATGGTATTAATTTTGGAATATTAATGGAATATTTCGGAAATCTGTTGATCTGTGCACTGGTGTCAGAATTATGTGGCACAGTTCACAACATGAATGTGGCTTCAACAGTAATGATGAATTATTATTATATAGAATATAAGATTTTATAGGCACCATAGGAAGAACAAAATCCATCCCAGCCCCTCCCCATGGTGGTAAGATTATCATCATGAATAATATACTCTAAAAAGTACAACACAGGTGGAAACAAGAACAAAGGAGGGTGAAACACACATGTATAAAACTCATCATGTTAGTATCAATCCTACTTTGACAAAATAGGAATTGCCAAAAAGGAGAGATCAACAAATCTGGAAAAACTAAATGAAAAGTATATGTACCAAAGGCTATCTAAGTTGGAGTGGGTTCAGAACATGACAACAAATAAGGTACTGGATACAGAGAGCAAAATGTAAGAGGAAAGGTTGAAGCAACTGGGAATGTTCAGCTGGGTATAAAGAATACTGAGGTGATATGACTGCACTCTTTAAAAAACGCAAAGGCTGATACAAAGTGGAAGCTGTCAGTCTCTTTCTTGGTCCAGAAGGTTGTATCCGGATTTATGGTTGTAAGTTACATGAGGCTAGATTTCAACTGAATATTAATTAGAAGGAAGTCCTCCACTGTAAGAGTAGTTCAGCAAGAGAAGTCATAGGTGGTGGGGTTTATTCCTCTGGACGTCTTTCCGTACCTTGGGAAGTCTGACTTGGCCACGGTAGTCCACGTTCTGGTTACATCCCGTTTAGACTACTGCAACGCTCTCTACGTGGGGTTGCCTTTGAAGACAGCTCGGAAGCTCCAACTAGTCCAACGCTCGGCAGCCATGATTTTAACAGGAGCGGAGCGCAGGGAGCATACAACCCCCCTGTTGCGCCAACTCCACTGGCTACCGATCTGCTACCAGGCTGAATTCAAAGTGCTGGCGTTGGCCTTTAAAGCCCTAAACGGTTCCGGCCCAAGCTACCTATCTGACCGCATCTCTGCCTATGAACCCACCAGGACTTTGAGATCTTCCGGGGAGACCCTGCTCTCGATCCCGCCTGCTTCTCAGGCTCGGCTGGCGGGGACGAGAGATAGGGCCTTCTCGGTGGTGGCTCCTCGGCTGTGGAACGCCCTTCCTACGGACATTAGACTAGCACCATCTCTAATGGTATTCCGCAAAAAGGTGAAGACCTGGATGTTTGTGCAGGCGTTTGAGTAATTTAATGCAATCTGGTAATGGAACATAGGAATGGAACAATGGACGACGAACCTGGACTACGCTTGGATGATGAGAAGATTGGGTACGGTTGTTTTTTGTAATAATTGTGCATTGTAATTGCTTATTGGTAATTTATGGATAATGTGTTAAGTCAATTGTTATATGTTGTATGGAACCACTGCTGTTTCTACTGTTTTTACTGTTTGTGAACTGCTGTGAGTCGCCTTCGGGCTTGAGATACAGCGGTATATAAGCAAAGTAAATAAATAAATAAATAAATAAATAAAGGCTTCTATGAAAACTCTAGCTGGAGATCCTGCATTCAGAAGGGCTTGGACTCCGCATGAGGCCTGTCCAATTCCACGTTTTTAAAATATAGGGCAGGAGAATCTATGACCTTCAAAATGATGTCGAACTCCAGTGCTCATCAGCTCTTCCCAGCCTTGACAAAGATGTACCAGATCAGCATACAGATGGGAAAAGTTAAATGCCTGAATAATTTTCTGCCGCTAGAATGATCAAATACAATGACAGAGTTGTACTCGAATATATGCAGAGTACAGAAGAAAGACCTAAACAAACTCCTTGATCATGGAAAGCATGTCAGAGAAGATTAGGAGAGAAATTCTTCTCTCTGGCAAGACATGGCAAGATATGTTGTTACTGTTATTTTGTCCAGTCGCTTGACTCTTCAAGACCTCATGGACCAGTTGCCACCCTCAGCTCCTTCAAGGTCAAGCCAGTCACTTCAAGGATACCACCATCCATTTTGCCCTTGGTTGGCCCCTCTTTTTTCCTTCCATATTCCCCAGCATCATTATCTTCTCCAAACTTTCCTATCTTCTCATTATGTGACCAAAGTATTTCATCTTTGCCTCTAATATTATTCCCTCCAGTAAGCAGTTAGGCTTTATTTCCTGGAGTATGGACTGGTTGGATCTTCTTGCGACGGTCCAAGGCACTCTCAGAATTTTCCTCCAGCACCAGAGTTCAAAAGCATCTTTCTTCCTTTGCTCAGCCTTCCTTATGGTCGTATCCATAGGTTACTATGGGGAATATCATTGTTTTAACTATGCAGATCGTCGTTGCCAGTGTAATGTCCCTACTCTATCCTAGATATAAGGAGTTTTAAATATATATATTTATGAACTGTTTATCTGGACAATTCCTTAGTGGCATTCTAAAAATGCAGCAAATACAGCCCAGTGGGATGCTGTTAATTGTGCAGGCAGACTAAGAAACAAAGAACAGATCAACATCAATGCTGAATACTTCTTGAATACAATAATAAAGATAATTCTGCTATTAAGAGTTCAGGAGGCTGGCCTCTTTCAGATTTACAATTTTGATTAAAATCTCTGGTCTGACTTTTCACCTAAATATTATTCCAGACTGTTCTCAAGGAGAAATGTGGTGTTCAATTAAGCATGATTTTCTCTACTATAAGACATTTTAGCAACAGAGTGTGGCATGATTTATTATGATGCCACATTCAATTCTTCTCAAATATTGCCTCAGCCTTTTCTGTCCTCCTGAGAGGACAGCCGCCAGCTATTCTCCAGGACAAGGATGCACGCTTGAGACATAATCAGCAATGAAAGACTGACCTTGCTTATCTGCAAAATTCAATCAAATCTATATTAATGTGATTATTAGCCTTCTGTATTTCTAGCGTTAAACAAATGCATTCAAATACACAAAACTGTCATATCTGTACACCTTCTAAGGATCTCCTTATTTATTTATACCGCATTCTCTTTGTGATGAAGAGCCCAGAGCAGCTGACAATTTGCGTAAGATACATATGCTACAACACAGAAACATGATTAAAATCATGATTATACAATCACAAATATAATAAACAAAAGAAAACATAAAGATCATCTAAATAAATGAAGCAATTTATCCCCAAAAGCTTTCATACAGAGAAAGCATTTTCAACGTATACCTAAACAACAGTCTGGAGAACAAGCAGACTGCCATTGGGAACTCTGAGTTCTGTCATCAAGATACCACCATGTAAAGGCCTTGTCATCTGAAACTTAATGATAGGCCATATGCATAGAAGGCAGTCAGGATTCGAAAATATTGACTTCTGAGGTGTTTATGTCTATCCATAGGACACGGCAGATTATAAAATCTCTCTATTTAGGCTAAAGAAAGTTTTAAAGTATTAATAGTACCATAAGTATTATGATGGATTTATAGGCAAGTCTGACACCGAATGGTGCAGAGCATATAGAAACTCAAAGAAAGGAATACCATACATCAGCCCTCTACATTCACTGGGGTTATAGCGCACGGCGAGATCATAAAAGTGAAAAACTAGGAAGAAATTGCTATTTTTTTAACCTGAGCGAACATCTCGGTAAGTATCTCTTAGTCCTCCAGCATGACTGTATGGTTAACATTCATTGGCTGTTGGCCACAGAATTGATTAGGAGGATCTAGAGATTCTTAGAGAGGTGTTTTCTCTAGAAATCTTTAGGATCTCCAGCATGATTAGAGGAAGTTTACTGTAGAGTCACACTGGAGAACCTAGAGATTCCTAGAGAGAACATTTTAATCAAATCCATGAATAATCAAATCCACAAATGTGGAGATACAGTGAATGAGAATACAGTGGGCAAAAAACAGGTTCCAAAGTACAATGAACAATGGCTCTACAGACACTGTCTTATGTAACAAGCTATCATCACCATCATCCTGCTTTTGTATCTGGATTGAGATGAAAAATGGGGTATAAATGAACATACAATTAACAAGCAACATTCCACTTGACTACAGGCAACATAAACGAAGGGCACTTGTCTATAACTTATAATTAACTGCAATCAGATGCCAAGGTAACCATGGGGTGTTCTCTCCGCTATCTATAAAAATAATGTGGGCACTGGATGGCTGTGATTAACATGCTAACAATAAACACATGGCATAGATCATGCTGCTACATAATTGGTATGCTCGTTGAAACAAGAACACAACACTGATATTCTAGCAGCATATTTAGCAATATAGCATGCTTTTATTCATGCCCCCTTTGTTGAGTGTGTGTGGCAAACTGCTCTTTTGCAAAACTAAGGGCTACAAACTATAGAAATTCAAAGAAAAAGGAAGGACAAAGAAAACAGGAGAGTAGACAAGATCTTCCAGGGAAAACAAATCTAACATTCTGCTTGATAATGAAAATCACGAGTTTCTAAAACCCGGGATACATCTGACCACCTAGAAAACCGGGAGAAAGAGGAGACTGATGACACAAAAATAACAATCAGATCTAATGAAAGCCATTGTGGTGTAGTGGTTTTGAGTACTGGGTTAGGAACACCTGTGCGGGCGCTCGTTTTCAGGGTTCCCCTGCCTCTCCTGTTGCTTCAGACCACTTTTTCCATCAGCCCACTTTGGTTGGGATTCAATGTTTACTTTTAAGCTCTTTTTTGTATTTCTATTTGAATTAATGTATGTTTACTTTTAAGCTTTTTTATTGTATTTCCATTTGAATTACTTCTAAGCTTGTTATTGATACTAGGAGACAAGGATTCAAATCCCACTCAGCCATGGAAATTGGATGACCCTGGGCAAGTTGC